CTCGGTGACCTCTGCTCGCCTCAGAGATGCCAGCCGCCCACCTGCCTGCATCCCACTCCCGGCCGCGAGCCCAAGGGTCGCCAGCATTCGGGAGCAACCCTCTCTCCATTTTTCAAAGTGCGTATATAGTTGATTTTTGTGTCCTCGGTGGAGGATCAAGGGGGCGCATTTGTCAGTTTCAGGTCCTCAGTAACCAGCAGCGTGGATCACCCACCGCCGACCGCAGCACTCACTCCCAAATCGCCATTTCTTCCCTACTCCCAAATGAATGCTATACAAGTACGATGCTAGAAGGCTGTGTTGCCAACATAATGACATATACATAAACGTGAGTGGTGATGGTATTCCCCACACCCTCCTCAAGAATTCACGTTTCAAACGCCGAACGCTGAGTGCACAGGCGCACACGTCTGTATTCTCGCACATGAAGACAAGCCTCTCCCTCCTCTCCCTGCTCCAGCGCCAACCTGGCCCAGCCGGCGGCGTTATATAAATAACACCAGCCCTGCGGCAAACGGCTACATGAGCATTATTTCCTTCTGCACCCATGCACGGCTGAGAATGGGCGGCACCTTTCACCCCAGCATCCCCACTTGTTGGACACATTTCATATTCTGAAGTTTATGGATGTCTTGAGAGAAGAATCCATTTCCAGTCTTATTGGGGGTTGAGGGGGCGTTGAAAGAAATGCTTTTGCTTTACAAAGGATACACTCTAAGCTACTGAATGTATTCTTTTGCATTTCCATTCTTTGTTTACTACATATTTAACCTGAAGTTCTTTTTTTGTTATGGGCAACATGTGCGACTAGGTAAAATACTGGCACATCCAAGACAATTCTTTCTGAATGCTGCCAGTGGGCTGGGCCTTGGGGCAGAAGGTGGTGGGCCTTCCTGCTGAGAAGGGGAAGACGGAACACACCAAATCTCTAAGAAATGGGTTCTCAAGACCTGCTCATATTTAAAGAGCTTCTGGGGGTGATAGTGCACATTGTGCTGGCAGTAATGCTTTATTTTCAACTTTGCATTATTGACTTGACTTTTTTCTTCCCTCTCCTCACCCCATTTGAAGATATTATAAATGCAATGTGTTTACCTCCAGGCCTGGAACAGAGAAAGTGATCAGTAAATGTCAGCCATTTATTATTACTGCCACTACTACAATTACTATTATTTACAATCTGCATTTCTATTTCAGATATAACTTTAAAGATATTTATTTGCTCTTCAGTGGCCTACTGTTACATCAGAGGTCTATCTGTGTTTGGCTCTGCCCCCTTACCCATTTGTTGGATTATAACATTGCAAAACAAGCATGACCTTGATGGCCATTCCAATCATAATCCTATATAATAAAAGGGTAATATGCAAATTGACCCCAGCAGCAGAAAGACTGGGAATGACTGGTCACTATGACAACACTGACCACCAGGGGGCAGATGCTCAATGTAAGAGCTGCCCCCTGGTGGTCAGTGCGCTCCCACAGGAGGAGCTCTGCTAAGCCACAAGCCAGGCTGACGGCTGCCAGTACAGCGGTGGTGGTGGGAGCCTCTCCCGCCTCCTTAGCAGCACTAAGGATGTCCGACTGCAGCTGGCAAGTACACATCCCCCAAGGGCTCCTGGTCTGCCAGAGGATTGTCTGACTGCCAGCTTAGGCCCAATCCCCCAGGGAGCGGGCCTAAGCCAACAGGTGGTCATCCCCCGAGGGGTCCCAGACTGAGAGGGCACAGGGCGGGCTGAGGGACCCCCTTGAGTGCACAAATTTTTGTGCACCGGGCCTCTAGTAATATATAATATGAAGCTTTGCAGGGTTGACTTTCAAATATACACTGTCGTTCAATCCTCCCAGGACCCCCAAGAAGTGGGTCTTCAAGATAAGGTTGTGAGACTATCAGATCAAAGAGGTGGCCCACAGCAGAGCCAAATAGCTGGCTTTGAATCCAGATCTTCTAACTTGACTCAAATTCCAGGTTTTCTCCATGTCAACGTGAAGGGACATATTATAATACCATGGGAAGAGTTTGAAAGGTATCTGTCAATGTGCATTTTTAGGTGGGAGAAGCCCTGGCTCTGGCAGGGAGTTTCATTGCCAAGCTGTTATTAGTCCTTGTCCCCAAAAGGTGGTAGAAATCCTCAAATGATACATTCCCAGAATTTGGGGACATTCAGGAAAATGGTCCTCTCTGAAGTGCAAGCTAAAGGAATCAACACAAAATGTTTGTAGTGAGCCTTCTGCAGCACCCACCCAGGCATTGTAACTAAGTTGCTGGTTAGATAGACGTTTCCCTAAATCCCTCTGGGATCAACATGACCCCCAAATCTAGCCAAGAAAATTAAAAGGTAACCAATTTAAAATAAACTAGTCTTCAGTTCCTGAAGACATACCTCCAGTGACTTCATTGAGGGACCTAGAGCAAAAGGAGACTTTAGGAAGAATTCAACACTTTGATAGCCTTGAGGATTTAGGTTCACAGGCTCCTTTGGGGAAACCAGTCAGCACCTGCTATCGCATTACCCTACTCTACTTTTCTGAGTGGTAGCTACCACTAAGTTCTAGTTTTCTTGTTTACTTATTTATTTACTACCTCCCACCTCTAGATAGGTACCTTGTAGTCAGTTGTATTTCTGATGCCTAAAACAATGCCTGGTACATGTAAGACACTCAACATCTATTTGATCAAGTTATCTATCAGAATCCTATAACTCTGTTTACATTGATTCTTAAATCACTAAGCAACCTTTTCATATTTGTTTAAGCTCTCAAATATAGTGCTCAGATCAGCCAAAAATGAGAATTAAAATGAACTTGACAATTATATTCCTTATTATAAATAATTGTGCATAATGGATTGGCTCCCAGTATGAAATTATTGTGGGCAGTTATTGGCTTGTAGGCAGTAGGCTTATAGGCCAAGTGCAGCTCACAGAATACACACAATCTTTGAAGAAAAATGATTGCCAGCATTTGAAAATCAGGAGATTGAACATTAAAACACACACACAGCAGAAGCTTCCACGCCTGGCCTTTGCAGGGCCACACTCCCTGGAATGCAGTAGAAGGACAGGTGTTCTGCAGTCCTCGTCCAGCATTCATCTCTCAGACATCATTTGTCTGGCCACCAAAGGCTTCTGAGTCTGTGACCCCCAATTTGTGATAGTGTCCTGAACTCGCTGATCTCCATAAAGAAGCTGAGCCATTCTCCTTTCCTTTGAAAACATATTAAATAACCTACCAACTTGTCATTTCCTAAAAAATGAAAGGATAGAAAAAAGAAAGATGCAACCTAATCCCCAATATACTTGAACAGGTTTATTTCCTTGGAGATAACAGGAATCAAAACATTAGCTAAAGTTGATAGAAACCTAATTTCAAATCCTCCATAATTTTATAAAGTTAGTTCCAAGGAATTGGTGTAAGGGTTAACTAACCTAAAATTACAAACTTAGTCATAGCAAATTGATTTCACATTGGTCTTACCTGTATGTTCATATTTTTTGTTTATACTTGAAATCTAGGCAGATACCACATTTTAGAATATTCTGTATCTTTTTTTTTATTCTGACTGCAGCCTGATTTCTTTCTTTCAAATATTTATTTGAAAAGTAGGTTATCTTGATTTTTGGAGGGAAATGTGATATGAAATTACTTCAAACTGAGTATCCATGAACATTATTGACATCAGCCTTTGACTTTTGGAATGTTAACTCTGACTTTCTAACAAGGAATTTGACATTTACAAAAACTATCATAAACATAAATGGAAAAGCTGCTTTAGTTCAGTGGCAAAAGTAATAAAAATGTCACATAATCTAGCCTAAGGAAACCTACAGTTGATGTCTTGAGAAAAGCTATACATCTGTACTAATCAAATTCACCCTCCTGATCAAAAGGCCAACTGGAAACAGATAACAAAATGGAGATAAGATGTCTACATAAAAATTATTCAATTGTAAATGTGATTGATAGGGCTCAATCACTTTTAGAAGCTTGCTCAAATTTTAATTTTCAATTCTTTTGTTGAGTTTTAAAAAAAAACTAGCACAACAAATTGATCTAGAATTGGATGCTGGCTTTTGTTTGCTAAAAAATCACAGGTGTCACATTTGTTTTATTGTGCTTAACAATGTTCTTTGTCTCCCTCCCACAGACACACTGGAAAAGGGATAGAATGCCAGGACTTACAGGTGAACATTGTATTCTTCATTCCAGCAAGGAAACAGCCTCTTTTTTTTTTAAATCATCCCAAAAGTTGCAAATGAATCTCAGGTTTCAAGTATGGACACCTGTGCTTTCCATAAGAGGTGAGCAATCTGAAGACAACCATCATCAGCAGGGTTTGTGGGAACAATGTCAAGTAGCAAAGGTTTAAGGGAAGAAACTTTCACTTCCTAAGAGAGGCAAAATAAGCTCTTTAAAGAACTCTTTCCCTACTAATTCTAATAGAGATGAACAAAACCCACAACTTCATGGGTGGTGTAGCCAAATCTAAAGTGTTTAAGCTAATTTCCTTCAATGACCAGAAGCTAAAAGGTTGAGAGAAGGAATACTCTTAAATGGAGATCACAGAGCCAGAATATACTTTCTGAAGCAAGGTGTTCTTGCCCACCTCCCCACCCGCCCCCCCAAAAAATGTGATGAACTTTTGGTCTCTAATTCATGACTATTTTGTCTCTAATTTATGACTATCAGATAGTCATAAAGAATTTTTATATTTAAAAAATTAGCTACACCTGTATGCATAGTATCTTTAGCAGAAATTATGGGCTACCTCTCAGGGCTTTGATTAAATATTTAGTGTCTCTATAGCAAAAAGCATAAAAATGTGTAGATAAAGTTACTGAAACTTTTTTTAAATTAACAGTCAGTACTTTAAAAAATGAAACTGAATGTTTGAACTTTGATTGAGTAAAACACTTTTGCTATTTCAGAAGGTTATTTAACACCCTAATATAAATAAGTACACCTGGCACCATTTCTAATACCTTTCTCTAATAAAAGGAACCAAGGCTCTTTCGGGAAATAATTTATTATAAAATTGGGGCAGGAGATATATGAGATGAGCCTGGGGAATCTTGTAGTGTCAGAAAGTAAGGAAGTGCTGAACACCTACACACACACACACACACACACACACACACACACACACACGGATAGGATTATGTCAAAGGGACACAGGAGCCAACTGAAAGAGCTTCCAGTCAGGGGGCAGCTCCAGCAGAAAGAATACTTCTTCTCTAAAACCTCCAAAAATATCACAGCCCACCTCATTGGCTCTGACTGCTGCTGGCTGGGTCATGTGCTATTTTTCAGCCTATCCCTGTGGCTCCAGGACTGTGATGCTCTGATTGGCTAAGCTTGATCCACATGGCACGGAAGGAGAAACAACAATGTCCATTTCAATTTTCTTGTTAAAAATGACATGCAAATTCTAGATTTTTAAAAATATGTATAGCTGTCTTTTGGGGGCCCTTAATATGAAAGAGAAAATAGATAAAGTGTTAGTTGCAAAATATGTCAAGAAAAAACCCTCCACTTTTCAGGAAAATTCAGTGAATAAATTAAAGGTAACTACTACCTGCAAGACCACCATGGACTCCAAGTTATCTAAACTGCACTGAAATATAAAATTCCGTCTTCCCTGCCTTCACTGTATGAGATGCTCAGAAATTCTGCCTGCTCCAAGCAGCACTGAGCAGAAGCTCAGGCAAACCATTCAGTCCTCACCTTTCATTGGAGCCTCATGAGGACTCAGCCTCCAGGCTGGAGCTGGAACTGGTTTGAGTCAACACAGCAGCAGGCATAGTTCCCTAGATCCTGTTGGAAACTTTCTGCCAAAAACGGGGAACCTCACTTCGTTTGCCGAGAGTTCTATTTTATGTTTTTGCCCTTTTTATTCATCTAGTTACTTATTGAAAATGACCGTAAAGCCATGCGTTAGATGAGGCTTTTGCAAACAGAAATGGATGTTTGTAACGAGCAGGCCCAAATGTGTCCACACAAGTCTCTGCTCTTCCAGTGGGGACAGCAGGCTCCTGAGAGAGGTGCTGTTGTTCACACCTCCCGGCCCTCTTTTCCTGAAATTACATTTGGAGTTTGCAGCACATTCTTCCAAATACTCTCAATTGTGAAAATGTTTACACTCTTGACTTTAAGAAAAGTGGCTGATTAGTGATTAAGCTGAGAAATATCATTGGGGACTTAAAATGACCTGTGACTATAAAATAAGGAGGTAGAATTTCTTCTGTTGCCCTTAAAGTGGCTCTGGAGGTAAGGGTTTCCTGAAAGCTGTGAGGGGAAGAAGCCGGCCTGGTGGCCATGTGAGATGAGGCTCTGACTAGCTGTTAAAGAGCTTGCTTTCTTCTCCATGCCCTCTTTAAACACCACTCCACTTTTAACCTCTGCTGAACCTTTACCCTCCGCATTTTCATTTAATAAAAGTGTCCAAATCCCAAGAGGAATTGGAGAAGAATTTCAATCATTCCCAGCCCACGTGTTCTCCACAGAAAGGGACGTTTTATATTTGCTTTTAGCCAAAGAGGCATCCCTTTCTAACTGTGGTAAGAAAAAGGGATTCGAAAACAAAGTCAAAACAGTGTCCTGTTCCTCTGGGCTCCATCTTCCACATGTTTTATTTCTCCTCCTTTCGGAGGTGTGACCCACCTAATTAAATCTCAGGGTGTGAAGCCCTGCTGGTCCTGACTTGGCAATTTTCAACACAAGTGCCCCTTTATGGATAGTTTGTTAGGGATCTTCCGTTACCTCAGATGAACATACTAATCAGCTACTGAGGCTACTTAGGAAAATAATTCCAATGGCTCCTCGCCCTCTTCTAATTACCAAGTCCCAAGCTTCTGGACTCAGTCCCAAAGTCTCTCATTTTCCTCTTCCCCTTTGTTTTTCCCTTGCTTCCATTAGTGTCTGCACTGGAATTCGGCCACACTGTTTGAAGTTCTCTGTTGCTATGAGATGCTATTTTGCATCAAACCCAAGTGTGAACTAACACTAATTAAGGCCTTTATGTACCTTTGCAAATAGCCACTGTGCTTTTGCCCAGGCCAAGGAGGAATAGGGTTCTTTTCATTTGTTTTAATAGCGACCTGAAGGTCCAGAGGTGATCTGTCCAAATAGAAGCAGGGAAGAAGCAACTTGGGGGTGGAGAGTGGGAGAAGCTTGTTAGTGTATTTGCCAGAGCACCCCGACCATTTTCTTCCAGAACAACACAAAATTAATAATTTCTCCCTTGCCTGGGCAGGAAAATACCATTTTGGAATGAAAACAAATAATGAAGATAAATGGAATCTCTAGTCATCTACCTTAAATCTCTATTTTCTGGGAGAGAAAACTGAGGCTTCAGAAAAATTGAAATTTTTGACCAAAATCAAAGAGTTTCTCAGAGTTCAGCCTGGGATGAGGACATAGTTAGTTTTTCTGATTCCCAGTCACTAAATTCTGGATGCTGCCTCCCTGGAAATGGAATGTGTGTAGAATACCATATAATCAATAACAGAACTACTGACACACAATCAACAGGGCATTTTCCCTGCTCATTCTCCAGCTTCATCTCTCATAAACATATAGCTTAAATGTATGAAAATAGGTTCTCTTTGAGTTCCTCCCTGAAACTTTTAGTTCTCTGAAGACCCAACTGGGTATCTTTCGTAATTTGTACCTAGTAGGGGCTCAATAAATGGTGAATAGAGAGAGATGAATAACACAAGGCAAATTCAGCTTTTCCACTAAGAAACATATCGACTCTCCTGTTAGTGCCAGATAACTTAGTCAACCAGCAGAGGTGAGAAAGCAAGTTCCACTATCTTTCACTTCTATTATTTTGATAAATTTGACTTATTTTTTAAAAAATCAATGAAATATTTAAAGTAACCTGAAATCCAAAACAAAAGCATTACCCATTCAAAGTTTCACTTTATCTCCAGAACTGAGAGACAATTTGAGCCCTCAAACGAGAGGCAATTCCTGTGGAAAGGCTAGCCTCTCATGAACTCTACACTGCGTGGAATTTCTGGGCCTTTTTCAAAATGACTAAGTCTTTTATTCCATCAGCCTCTGACCTCAGTGCTCAGAATCTAGGAAGAGCTAACTTCCATTTCCAGGGACTCATCTCACAAACATGGGAGAGCTCCACACAAACAAGGCTTAGATGACCGGGCCTGGGGTCCGAGGGAGCCCCTCATGCTGTGCGGACTTGTCTGGGGTTGTGGGCTGAGTGGAAGAAGAAGTTATTCTTTCTTTCTGACAACATAATTAAAATGCTAGACCAACACATGAAAGTGTTACAAAGTTAAAAATGGTGCAAATATCTATAATAATAAAAGTGCAATATGCTAATTAGACCAGACATCCTTCCGGATGTCCTTCCGTCCTTCTGGATGAAGCCAGGGCTACGAGGAAAGCCTGGGTCCTGGGTGCCTGCCGGCAGCCAGAGGGAAGCTGGTGCCGGCAGCTGGGGGAAGGAAGGCCTACTCTTGCATGAATTTCGTGCATTGGGCCTCTAGTGAATAATGAATTCAGAAAGGAAAACTAATAAAACAATTCTATTCACAATTGCATAAAAATAAAAAAAATAAAATACCTGTGAATAAATTTAAACAAAGATGTAAAAGACCTATACTCAGAAATTTATAAGATACTGAAGAAAGAAATTGAAAAAAATACAAATAAGTGGAAGTATATACCACGCTCAGGGATAGAAAGAATTAACATAATTAAAATGTCCATACTTCCCAAAGCAGTCTATTAAGATACCAATGCCATATTTCACAGAACTAGAAAAAATATTCCAAAACTTTATATGGACCACAAAAGATCCTGAATAGCAACAGCAATCTTGAAAAAGAAGAACAAAGTTGGAGGAATCAGACTATCTGATATCAAACTATTCTATAAGGCCATAGTAATCAAAACAGCATGGTACTGGCATAAAACAAACATATAGGTCAATGGATCAGAAATAAACCTGATAAATATGGTAAACTAATATCTGACAAAGGAGGCAAGAACATACAATGGAGTAAAGATGGTCTATTTAATAAATGCATTTGGGAAAACTTGGCAGATATGTGCAAAAAAATGAAACTAGACCACCTTCTTACCATACATAAGAACAAACTGCAAATGTATTAAAGAATTAAATGTAAGACTTGAAACCATAAAACTCCTAGAAGAAAACATAGGCAGTAAAATATCAGACATTTCTCCTAGCAATGTTTTTTTTCTGGGCAAGGGAAACAAAATAAAATAAGTAAATGGGACTGCATCGCAGCAAAGTGATTTTGCACAGCAA